CCTAAATTTATTTGTAATTTACTTTGTAAAAGTTGAGGACTAAATGTTATAGTTGTTTATGATCTGATTGTTATCAATTTAAAGTGGTAATAGTGTCCCAAACTGAGTATACATTATGCAGTTGAAGGCTTAACAATATTTGTCTCAATGTTTAGTATGACTTTAAACTCAGTAGAATATAGTAATTGTAACACCTCAATCATCTTGGATTTTTTTTAAATAGGCTACAAAGGTTGTGAAACAAACAAATTAATCACAAAATGTTTTCTTCGATTTTCTAATTTTATTTGGTTTTCATTTCTATTATTTTTCATGGCCATTAACTGTTTTTTCATTAAAAAAAATATTATCAGGGTTTAAATTTAAGAACAGTAACTAAAATTTAAAAACTTTTCCATTGATGAGAAATTGATAAAATTATTTTATTATTTTATTTTTACTGTTTAACAAAAATCTTACATAACTTAGATGCCTTTTATGTGTACTGTATTTCTTTCAATCCACTGATAAAATACATTTTTATCACTTTCCTATGCTAAGCCAAAGAACTTACAGGTTTACTTATGTAAATATAGAACTATTATTTTTGACTTACTATTGTGAGTAATGATTCATGACTTGTTTGCTATTATAGTTAGGTATCTTAAGGGTAATTTTTATTTACAGAGGAATTTATTTATTTAAATATTAAAACTGTGTTTACACAAGCCAGTTGGCTTTTTACCTGCCTCAGATCCAGTAGACTCCCTCTTATCCGGACACCTTTTAACCAGACATTGGTTTAACCGGACAATTTTCGCAGCACTTCGGTTTAACCGGACTAGATCTGCAGGAAGTGGGTGGTACTGAAATGACTGTTCTCGTGGGAAAGGTTTGAGACCAGTGATCACGCGTCTAAATACAATACTCTCCTAAATTTAAGTAAAATACTGTATACAGTATCTATTTAAACGGTCTGTTTTAACGAGTTTTTTTGGGGACTTCGGTTTAACCGGAAAACCCGTTATCCGGACTGGCCTCGGGAGTCTACTGTAACTTGAAATACACTAGTGGCAGGTAACCTGCATGCTTATTGACCTCGTGCAATCATGGTTTAGTTCAAGTCAAAATTAACGATTATACAAATCCTATTTAATTTAGTTAGACTTATGATTAATTTCCATAACAAGTGTTAGTTATCTCTTATACTTTTTAAAATAGAAAAATTTTATGGCATTATATTTTGACATATTGGAAAATAAAGCTTTGTAGAAAACGTGTTAGAAATTATTTCAAGACCCAGGTTCTTTATATCAAATATTGTTAACATTTTATTCGTGGTATGTCTATTTTAAAACTACATCTCTTTTTTGTTTCAAACTCACTTCAAGCCTTCCTAGAAGACCATATTCTATACAGTAAAGTAAATGCTGTGATTTAGATACTCAACACAAAAGAACGTTATGCCAAGTCAAAAGTTTGAAAAAAAATTGTATTTTTCGCCTATTAGTGGCAAGTAAAATCTAATACTTAGTTGACATAGCAAAACTTTTCATTTGATCTAATTTTAGTGGAATAAGTTTTGAGATCATATCTAGTAAATTTTGTTTTTGTTAAGTTTTCTTCAGGATATCATTATAAAATGTGGATGCAAAATTAGTTTATGATGGTTATGCCAACCATTTTTTATTATTAGGGCCCATCCTAGGTTTTTATACAGCTACGGTAACTTAGAAAAATAATTAAAAATTTATTAAATTTTATTTTAAACAAGACAAATTATTGAACTCAAGATATTGTAAGTTATTTTTTTTTTACTACCTTTGGATTTCATTACAGAAATTACTTTTGAGTTCTTTCTCTTACATTGGGAAATTTATTTTTAAATATTACTCTGTTTGGATTATACAAATTCTATACACTGCATTAGGAGAAAAGGAAAATTGTAGACTACTTTACTATGTATTCAATGGCTTTATAACTGATGAGCAATTTAGCATATTTACCAAAAAACTTGCAAAATATTAAGAAAAATATTTTTTTTCCTATTTCCCTTAGACTTTAACATAAAGTTGTCAATAGTCCACTATGAGAGAGTCAATATTTTGATCTGAAGTTATTATAAAAAAAAATAATAGGTTTCCACATGAGTAAAAAATTAGTTGAGTACTAAACAATAAACAAGGGAGCTAGCTGGTCTAGTAGTAGAGCTCGGGACTTCAAAGCCCAAGATCATTGGTTCAAATCCCGCCAATCACCAATGGATTTTATCTATGTGATAATGCGGTGACCCGCCCTCACTGCGCGTGTACTGCGGGGACAAGCCTGAAGTAGTATGTAAAACAGTTTTGGGCTAGCGTCCTAGGATAAAAAGGTATGATATAAAAAAATGAAAAACAAAACAAAGAACAAAACAGTTAAAATGTATCCAAGTACTGAGCAGCGTTAATGAACAGGTTATTACTTGTTTTCACATGACTTTGGGTATAATTGTGTGTGAACAATCAAGTGAGTGCAAGCCATTCAAACTAAACTGATTCAAATTCAAATGAGTCTATTGTATTACCACAGTATTTGTTAAAGACTTTCTGTCCATTGAAATTCAATTTTATTGAATTCAACGCTAAACTATCTCGGCATAAGAGTTCAATAACTTTCTGCTCTGGTTGCAGCTTTGTTAAGGTCTCTACAGGGATTTCCATGTCTAGTATGTGGGAGAACGTATCGAGCGCAGCGCTCTCTCTGGCGACACTGCAAGTTCGAGTGCAACACTCAACCGAGGTTCACTTGCCCTGATTGCGGATATAAGGCCAAGCAGAAAGTGGTACTTCTCAACCACATGCTGAACAAACACGCAAAAGTTCTTACGGAAGAGGAGAGAAATGCTTTGTAAAATGTAAAAATAAAATATGTTCTTGCATCAAAGATACCGTTTCTTCCCGTTTTGGTCACTGTGCTTACTGTGTATAGTCCTCGCCACCCTAAGTTGAGGCAGCGAAAGGCCGCACTAGATATACGCTGTGCGGCCTTGCGCTGCCTCAATTTAAGGTGGCGAGGACTATAGCAGTGTTGGTTGGGTTGGATTTGATTGTGACAAAACAGGGTGTGTTTTTTAAGGGGAAGATGAAAGATGAAATAAAAGCTTTTACCTAACCCGCCATGTTAAACTTCCCTATCCCAAGCGTGTGATGGATACAACTTCTTTACTTCACGAGTGAAGAAAAGTCTCAAAAACTCACTCGGGGAAGTAAAGAAACCCATTTAAATAACATTGAGTGCTCAACTTAAAAAATATACCTCTATGGAGCCAACGACGTTTTGGTTTAACTCTAGAAATCAGCTGTGAGCTTGAATTTTATTGTTATGCTTTAAATTATTTTCCTAACCTAGCTTTTGTTTGTAAACAAACGTTACTGTTAGAAGATGTGTGAATTGGATAATGAAAAATGTTGTATGTAACCCCCTGTATATTGACGGGTCAGGTAAAATCTTGTACGTTATACGTTACGCAAGAGTGTGTTTACATCACTTAGGTGAATTATGCAACTCGCTTCCGCTTGTTGCACAACGTTCACCTGTGTGATGTAAAAACGCTCTTACTACACTTGTAAGGTAAATATCTATTTTACTGATTAAGATCAGCTGTTTTAATAATTATCATTTATTGGCACAAAAGTGGTTCCAGTTTGAATAATCACATATTCTGCTGTATGGTAGAACAACATTCTTTCATTAATTCCAAGTTAGCTTCTGAGGCAGCGTAACCCATCAGATTAACCTTGTGACTATTGGATGACTGTCAAGTGACAAGTATTTTTCCCTTCATAAAGTGCCTGGATTTTGTGACAAGTGGGGGTTTATATTTTCCAAACTTTTTTAACATGATATAGGCCCCTACAAATTTGTTTTTATAAACGCATTTCTTATAACTTTTATGGTGTTGGACAATCTGTGGACTGTTTTGGTCATGTTTGTACTGTGAGAGACAAATAACTATTTAAAATATTCTTTTACTGTATTTGAAAATTTAATTTTTAAATGTAAATAGCGATTAAAGTAATTAAGTAAGGAATAAACCTAAACCAAACTGCTATGTGTGGTATTATTTGTCTGTTTAAATAACTTATAAGGAAACTGATCTTATGTATGTTAACACTTAACTAAATATTAAAACACTTACATACACCTACTATGTTTGTAATTACAAACACTTTAACAGACTCTGTATGGATCATAAACAAACAAATTGTTACTGGCCTGAAAGTAATCATTATTTAACATTGCTTAAATGGAACTGTCTATACCATATGTTAAAGTGATGTTCAGGCCATTAACGTAATTTGTTTATGTTAATGATCCATACCGCTTATTATTCTAATATTCCTGTATAATAATAATGGTTGATTTACCTTATGTGATCTAAGTATATTATGCAATCATTAGCTAACAAATTAAGAACTAATTTTAAGACTTATATTTTTGTAGAGACACAACTTAATTTGTTGTGTTAAGCTGTACAAGAATAATTTTAACTGTCTGTTCTATAAAATTGAATAACTATTAAGCCATTATTTTACTTGTTTGCCAAATCTCAGTGTTTTAAGTGTTTCATTGTCTTTTAAAATAAGTGATTGGATATTGGCCAACAAAAAATAAGTAGGTAATGATTATGTCAGATTACACAATTGAGTTAGTGGTTAAAATTATCAATTAAAGTTTTAAGAGTGTAAATATTTTACATTGGACATTTTACTTCACTGATAATTAAAACTGAAATTTCATAATTTTGTTATATGAATTCTGATTACCGGTATATCCAGTGTCAATCGTAATCCAGATATTAAAAAAAATCATTTAATTTATGTTTCACTTATCAGTTGTAAATGTTTCCACATTCTTAAACCATATACATGTACTCCACATAACCAGCAATAGTTAAACTTATTTATATTTTTCTTACTTTTCCTTATAAAGATCTTGCACCCATCCAACACTTAGACTGACATCCTCCATTGTTTCAGACGAGAACAACCCTCGCCCTTGGAGTGGTTTTTCAAAGACAAGAGGTGATTGTATCGCAGAAGGTGAAATAAAGAAAGAGGTAAAAGAAAATGTGGAGAAACCAAAGCATCCGAAGAGCAAGAGAAACTACGGAGCGTTTAGTTGCCAAAACTGCGGAAGATCTTACATCAGGAAGGACTCGCTCCAGCGACACACTCTGTGGGAATGCGGCGTAGAACCGAGGTTCCAGTGTCCATTTTGTCCGCAGAAGTGTAAACGGAAAAGTCACTACGTGCGGCACCTCCAACGGCAGCATCAAGACACTGTGTTGAGTCCGGAGATAAAGTTAGAAGGATCAGATATAGAGGGTATATTCGGCAAGTAAATGTGCCAGCTTTACCTCAACTTCGATACAATTTGTTGTTTACGAATTTACTTTAAAGTTATTTATGTAATGGTGTTCAATTTTATAATATTTTGCATCGTAAGGCTTCATTAACTAAAATGATTAAATCTTATTAGTGTGAGTAAAGTTCTCGTTCCGTTGCAAAATTTAAAGCCTGAAGCATACATACATACATACATACATACAAGCAAACATTGCTCGTATTAGAGTATAGGATTTATAAGTATTTTGTAATACTCCAAGTAAGGTCCGAGGATATTTTTATATTTCTTGCTAACATAGCTCCTTGTACAATTTAAACCAAGTACACAATATGCAACTAGACCAAGTATTTGAACAATGCCTTAATCGTAACAGGTCTTCTAATATTTACAGGGTATAACTGACTTCATTATTTTTTGTAAGCACTATCTAACTATACACAATGCTTATATATATTTTTTTAATGCTCACCAAGATGTAAAGTTTAATTCTCATCTGGTGTTAGCTCTATTGTTAACACAGTGACCTTATCAAGGAAGCTTCTGCCAAATGTGCCAACATGATATACTTGATCTTAATATAAATTGAAGCATTTTAATATGTCTTAGTATCAGATTTTTGTAATGTGCCTAACTTAAAACAAGTTTGGATAACTGTCAAGGTGCCTTAGATAAATAGATAGTTGACAACAAAATATAGTTTTTATAAGGCTATTATAAGATAATCTTGAATCTTAAAAAATGAATGATATTAAAATGTGATGCACTGTTATTTGTTGCAGCTATTCAAACTTAAAAATAATATTTTTAGTGGTGGTATTGATGGATATTTTTATACTAAATTAGTTATAAACTAAGATCAGTTATAGAGTATTGAGAACAAAGTAGAATATTAGTTGTAATATTTACAAGTATTAACATTCCTTTTTGGCGTAATTTTGTGGACTGCAAAAATATTTTAATTTGATTATATTTTGATCAAATTTGTTAAATACTGATTGATAGAAATTTCTTATAATTTTATACTGTGATTTTTTTCATAATTTAAAAAAATCGTTTAAATTTATTGGTTTAGCGGTTTTAAAAGAAGTTATAATTTACTTAAGAGGGTGTTATCCTCAAATACATTCCTTAAAAGTTTAAGTTTTGTTTTGCTTATTGAATTCTAAGTTTTTTGTTTGTTTTTAGTTTTGTGTTTTAAATGGTAGCGATTCTGCGATTAACCAAGGCAACAATCCACATTGTTTTTAATAGACTGAATAATTTAATAGACTAAGATGAATAGTAAATTTGTACCACATTTATTATTCTTGGGGACCAAAAAACCAATCCTTGCATCCACAGATTTTTTATTTTCAAATTTTTTTTGTTAATTTTACACTTGTTAGTATTTTAAATTATCTCAATTAATATTCACAAAGTATTTTAAATTGTTGGATAAAATGTATATGTATAATGCTTTAATAGGGTAGCTTATAACATATTTTTATACATGACTGCTAGGCTATAATAGCATGAATGATATTACTGAATTACATACTCAACGAATTTATTAATTATTAGATATTAAAAGGTAATTATCAAACTAGCTCATTGATAATCATGTATTGTTATTGGTTTTGTTATATATCTTTGTACTTTTAACGTTCCATATGTAATTTTCTGTTAAACTGGGTCTGTTAGATTTGACTAATAAAGTTTTAACATATTTAGGAAGACTTTTTTATTTTTCCTCTGTTAAAAATTTGGTTTAGTTCGGTTACTTATCACTATTTAGAAAAATAAGGCATAAATACTATATTATTTTACAAAAATCTCATTCATCTATTCCAATAAATAGCTTATTTAGTTTTGAGTTGGTTAACAAAGACCAAAGAGAAAAATTAATAAAATAGAAAATTTTTGATATTATTGGTTATAATTTACTTTTTACATGTTAAAATAGTCTAAACATATTTCCAGAGTATATTCAGAATTAAATAAGATATAGATATACAAAAATCTGTTTCGGTTAATTTCTTTTTTGGCTACACCAAAACCATTTTAGATAAGTTGGTCTTTTGACACATCCATTTGAACTTGAAAACATTTTAATTCATATTACTTTGGTACACAATCTGTTGCTAAAATAAATATTTAAAAACTATGTTATGTTTTTAGTTTATTGTTAGCATTACAATTTAATTATTTTTCCGACTGTTTACTTTTAGTTACCTTGTGTACTTAGTTAAATTTTCTTCCTATATATCCTACTTAATTAGGTATAGTTAAGTAAAGGTTAGTGTCAGTCTTATACCCTAAGTTATATAACCTAGTAGTAGGCCTATACCATTTTTCAACCTTAAGATTCGAACCCTTCATCAAAAAGCCTCAATGCTGATATGGGTTGATTTTTATTAACTTACATACAGCTAGAGGTACATAAATACAATACTTTAGCTTCAGCTTATGGCAATAATAATTTTAAAAAGCAACACGTTACATTTAATACTGGTCACTAGTGTAGCTACATTTTGCATAAGTTTAAATAAAACAGGGGTTTTTTAAGAAATGGAGGTTTTTTTCTGGATGCTTGACATTGACTATGGGTAGTCTTAGATATGTTTTGTATCTTGCTAAAATACCCATTTAGTTTTAATACATTGAAAAACAACTGCATGTTAATGCTGTAACATTCTGACGAGTAGCTGCTTTTGGTTTTTAATTTTTTGTTTAGAATAGGCCTACTAATTGTTTAAAGTTAAATTTTTCCGTTAGCTTTGGTTCAGGCGGACTAATCGTTTTTTAAAAGTAGCATAATTTGCTTTAATTGCAACATTTATGTTTCACATTAGTTGTTACAGAGAAAACTCTTTAAATAAATAACTAAGGTATGGAAATTTTTCATGAATACAGTACTTTATATTAGGATTTCACAGGTTGCAATCCGTATCCCCTTTCTTGATAATCTTCACATAGTCAGGTTACTATAAGTTTAATAACTTTGTTTGTATACGGATACTTTGCTGCTTAGTTTACTTGTTGTCAAGTTGGTCTGCAAGAAAACTTCACTTGGACAGTCTTCCTGACGATTTTATAGTCAATACAGTTAGTGTAATGAATGCTTGGACTCAACTGGATTTCATCTTTTCGTTTTGTCATTTAAATAAGGGTAATTTTATTATTTGAATGAATTTTAAATCTTTATTTAACATCTTTACTTTTAAAGATAGGTATGGTACTTTATAGATTCGTATGTCTCAATACTGTACCTGTTATACCACTGGAAGTTGAGCTTCATTGTCATTTCATAAAGATTCTTCATTACTTAACAGTTATCGTGTTTAGGCCTTAAATGTTTAAGGTGGCCATAATTATGTTATATTTATTGATTTAATTTATTTTCAAATACCTCAGGTTTGTTACCTTTGAAATGGAGTTTTAAGCTATAATCAACAAACTTTACGGTAATTCAAATTAGTAAAATGTGATCATGTTAAATTATATAGTAGTTTGTAAACATAATTTTAGTTTGTTTTAAGTCACTATTGGTTAAAGTGGGAATTTAAAGTTGTTATTTTGTTACACAGTAATTTTAAATGTTCTTTTTTAGGGTTTATTTTAAGTCCCTAAAAATTGTTCATGGTCAACTCTTTAAGAGTTCAATAGTTATTCTATCATTAGGAAATGGTAAAATTATTTTGTACTCAAACTATGTAAGTTTTCTTTTTAATCTCAATGTTAGGAATAAAGTTAAAATTGAGACCTCCAAAGACTCATATAGTTTAAAGAGAATATTTAAAATTGTCTCAGTCATTAATTTAGTCATAAATAACGGTTTCATTAAGCATTATATTTTTCCTATTGTACCGTCTATAATAATTTCATAATATGTGAATTTTAAATTATGAAAATAATCATTCATCTTTTTCAGGTTCTTACATAAGGCTACTCTCATTCTAACTTTTACATTTCATACTAACTGCATGTGCATTCGCATCAAGTATCGTAACATTTTAAGCTGTAATTAGTTGTAAGGTAAGGCATATACATACTTTTTGGTGTAGTTTCCTTAAGTTAATATTTGGGTAGGTTCTTTCCTTTTTTCTATTCTTGTTCACAAGTTCTTGTTTCTTCTATATATTGTAAGGTTATCTCGATGTATTTACTGACATCGAATTGTATGGTAGAAACACTGATAAGAAGTAGAAATTCCAAACCTAAGTTATCATAGGTTGAGAATAATAAATAGCTATAAAATGCTGTTTTCTTTAATTTGTATTCAAGGGAAACATTTTGTAGACTAAAGCATCTTTTATCTTCCAATCAGCATTCATAGATTCATAGATAAAGTAAAGAGAAACTTAAATAAACTAGTGGACAAGGTCTCGGGCTGCAGAAGGAAATGGTTCAAACGTAGCACATTCACAAAGACTGTAATGTGTTTAGACCGGTTTCTCTAAAAGCGTTTGAAACTTAATTAGGCTATGAAAATAGCACTGGCGTAGACATGAAATAAAGCAGAAGTTTACTCTACGGAAGCTCATACTACCTGTCTGATCTGATCAATAAAGAAATCTATAACTAATCTAACTACAGGATTTAAAGTCAACATTGAAACTTAATTGAAATATTTTTTTAAATTTTAATCAATGGACATTGGAGGCCAAGTTATTTGCTTTGCGGCTTCTGTCCTTAAATTTCCGTGGTTGAGAAGAAAAACAAATTTTGGATTTTTTGACACGTTATCAGAGTAAATTTGTCTTTATTTTATCAGTGTTTTTCTTTTTATAATACGTAATATTTATTGTTTTCCCACCTAGAGTTTTACACCTAAGCAATACTTAAAAAAAATTTTAAATACTCAAAATAATTCATTGTATAAGTTAATGACATGGTCTGTCCAGAATGATAAATCAATTTTCGTAGGTTGGTTTATTATATTGAAACTGAACTGACCATTTATATAAATAAATCTTAATAAAACTATAAGTAAAAAGTAAAGAGATTACATTCATTTGTTTCAAACAACTCTAATATAGGTATAATTTTTAAGCTGAATTGGTAAATTATTGTTTCTTACAAAATAACAAAAACCTAATGAATGTTGCGTTCTGGGGTTTCAAAATAATTAACAAACACACACAAATAACAAAATATGTTTGTATGACATAAATTGCTTAGTGACTTTTCTAAATATATTTTGGAATGTATTTACTTAGAAAATACACAAACATATTTATTGGTAATTTTCTTTAAGAAATACATTAGTGTCAAAAGATTCTCACGAGCCATTGGCTTAATATTGTTGTTAAAATACTGTATGAAGTTAAGTTCTTAAATAGTAAATAAAAGAAAATCTTTGTGTACACCATATTACATCCAAAGTAAACAAACAAACAAAACTAATTGAAATTGGTATTCTTGGGTAAACTGGAATTGAAACTTATGCTATTATAACATTTAACAATCCCAAAACAATTGTGAAAACAGATCATTTCTCAGAATTGAAATTGCTTACTATTTATGAATTAATTACCAAGTTAAACATTACAGTAATAACCTAAGACTAGTTTAAAGTTAATATAAATGAAAAAGTAACTCATTGACAGTTATTGTACAATAATTTATTTTATTATATAGAAAATTATTAGTTTAAATTAATAATTAATCAATCTATTTTAAAAAGATGTATTCCCTGTTCCTAATATGTAGCAAAAGATTGAACCATGTCAGCACAAAACCTGAGAGCATTCTGCTATATAAAATATTATTTAAATATAATTTTACAATTTTCAAACCTACTAGATATAGACAAATCAGTAGATATAATACATTGAATTAATAATTGTTTGCCAGCAACCTATAATATAGCGTTAAAAATGTAAAAGAAAAAGTATAACCAGTAGTTTTTGATTATAGATTTTATAACATTTTGCCTGGTATGATTTTAAAACTTTTTGTAAAAGCTTAGATTAAAATATGCACCTATGTGGAGTCCCCATCTCAATTATTGGTAATTGATAATAATTAATTGGTAAGTTCATTATTGGTGTTAGTCAAAGGCAATTTTATCCAATGACCTAAATTATCATTGTTAGTTATCATTGACATATCATTGTATGGAATTTGTAGTATAAATGATCTAGGATGGGTTATTTTCCACTTGTTTTCGCTGTCTGCTATAGTTTTCGCACAACTGCTAACATCTCTATTTCTCATAACACTCAAATAGTTTGGCTTGGTAATAGATATGGCTATGCATTTCATGATCATAAGTTGGGCGGTTTTCTTCTCCTATCCTACCCAAGCAAGAATCCAGATCCTTGGGGCCTTGAGAAATGTGAGTTTTGGGTTCTTTTATGCACAGGAATAAAATATGTATTTTTTAAAATTATATTACCTGACTTTTAAAGCTCAAATATCTTCGGTACAGTAGTTGAAATAATTATTGTATACTGTTTATATCTTCAAAGTAGGATAGTAAACCTATACAATATGATGTGGATGGATAACATTTTTAATAGTACTAAAGGGTGATAAAAAAAAATAAAACAAACACAATTATTTATGTGTATTATTGTTAGGTTGATCCATAATAGTTTAGCTCAAGTACAGCTTTTTTTTAACAAAGATATTTCAGAGGCAAATTA